CCCCCGCTTTCAGCCCCCGCCCCGCCGCCACTCCAGCGCTCGGGCGGGGTCTCCATCTCCTGGCCTCCCACTCCTCGCTCTTCTCAGCCCTGTCTCTGGTACTCTGCTCCCCCTTTTCTCCTGCCCCTCAGCCTCCCACTCGGTGAGAACTTTTCAGAGGTGCTTACAGCCCTAGTCGCCCGGACTTTCCGAGGAAAGAAATGTTGCTTTCACACTCCGTGCCTTCTCTTCCTTTACACTTGTGAAAAGTGTTCCAAATGGGGACTGGAGGTGGGCGTGGGAGGGAGCGGCCAGCCTGGGGGTCTCAAGTGGGATCGGAAAAAAGTCTGCAGGCAAGGATTTTAGTATGTGTGTGTCTGTGTGGGGGGCGGGGGGAGGGGACATGTAAGCCGGGAGGGAGGGGAGAAAAGAGGAGGAACATTAAAAGAGTTGGATTCTGGAAAACTGTTCTGAGCTCTGAACAGGGGCACTGCCCTGCTCTCCTTCCCCTCCCCCTCGCCCACTCCGCCCCCTCCAACCCCCTCTCCCCCCTAGCCCCCCAGGCGCTGTGAGTGTCTTAACTGAAAATCACTACTGGGGTTAGTGCCTGGGCTCCCCTGGTGGGCAGAGGAGCCCAGTCACAGGCCCCAACCTGTGGTAACAGTGTAGGCAGCTGGAGCGCTTTCTTTTTCCTCCCCTTTCCAGAAAGCAAATGACTTGTTGAAACCTGGGAGATCTCTGGGAAACAGTCTCCAAGAAAGTGCACCAGGTCCCTTCTCTGATTGCTCCTCTCTGCAGGTCCAAATCTCGATCTTATTTAAGTCCTGTGGATCCTTTAGGGTATGTTCGATTTTATGTTGACTTTTAAGATCGGAGGTCAGGGACAGCTTCCAAGCGCTTCCCTAATTCCCCAGGGCTCCTTTACAGCCTGCTTTGTTAAGTAGTGGTTCCCCTGTTTGGCTGTCCAGCCAGGAGCTCTAAGATTCTTCTGGAGGTTTCTCCCCCTGAAGACCCTCCTTGGGCCACTAACCTACTTCAGGGAGGAGATTCATCCACTTTCCTATGCAAAAGGTCACCTCCTCCTCACTGTGGAATAAAGAGTAGCCTAGGACCAGATGGAATCAAAAGAACATTTCTTTACTCAATTCTGCTGGTGTTTTTCATAAATAAAACACTTTAAAAAGAATGCCTGTCTCCCAAGAGAGCTTTTCTGCCCCCTTAAATAACAATTCAGTTCCTTATGCTTTACTTTCAAAAAACGAGTCAGACTTTAATAATGGAGTAAAAAGAGTACATGTGACAGTTTCCATTTTTTTCATAGAAAGTCATGCATCTTTTATGTGATGATACTGATACTGTTTGATGTGCTTTAATTTTTATCACATCGTTATCACCTTTCCATCTTTAATAGGAAGGATCATAACGCATACCACCTGCTTAGCTCACAAGAATGCTGTGAGGATTCACGTGCCAGTTTTTGCAAATTTGGAAGATGAAAGACACCCTGTGTGTGATAAAAGAAAGATCTCCTGAGAGCAGGAACAGTTGATCTTTCTCTGCAGCATCTCTCCGGCTGGACTTTTTTCCTGGTCTCTTGCTTTTCCCTCTTATAAGGTTTGGGTAGCAGATTGCGGCTGGCAGGATTTCAGTGTTGCCAAAGGGTCAGTTGGGTTTAAAGTGGGAACTTGATTTCCTCACCCATGCTGGGCAGTCAGAAATGATGTAAACAGCATAGTTGGCTGCTTAAGCAGAACATTAACCTTGTCATCAAGAACACATTCTAGGTGGAGTTTAGCTCTTTTAGTCATGCAATATCTGTTATTCTATCAGGGGATATTTAAAACAAGCAAGTAAGAGTGTCTATGTACACGCATCTGGGTTGATTAGTACTTAAAAGCTGCTAGGGCCGTTCATCAGATGTTAGTAGAACAGATGGGGTGATATATTCATTTAAACAATTATTTGATTTTGTTTTCAAAAGATAAAACCAACAAGCTGGCCAGAATTTGGTGCCATCTTGAAAATCGAGTTGATTTAATTTTTGTTTTTCCAACTAGTTTTACTGGTATGGTATAAACAATCCAAATGATGTCACCACTTTGAAATTTGTTTTGCTGGCTTATTGACATGTGGTGTCAAAGACAAAGGCTCAGGCCTCACTGATACCCTGCTGGAGTGACTACTCCCGGAGTGCCCATCACCTTCGGTGCCTTGCAGGTCTAGACTACAGCTACAGGGCTCACTGGCTGCATCACCATTCACTGTTGCTGCTGTACACTAGCTTACTGGTGTACTCGCCCAGGGGAAGAGCGGTGAAGAAAAAACAGTTGATCTGCCCGATAATGATTTTATGTGGATGTATGATTAAAATGGTACAATTGAAAGGAGGGCATTTCTAGACCCGTAAAAAGTGCCTATGTCTGAGTATATTTACTTAGATTCTGGCCCCCTGAAAACAGCACAGAGAGCCTCACTGGGGGTGCTGAGTGCTCTGTTATAGCACAGTGTGCTGGGAGCTCCAATCACCAGCTCATGGGCCTTGCATACTCAGAGAGTTCTTTCCCCACAAGACTTGGTCCTAATGAAGAGCCTCTGCCATTGGCTTAGCTTTCAGTCAGAACCAGTCCTTTGCTCTTCCACAGGAACTTTGAATCATAAGCAGCTTTTCTAGAATGTAATGCTGGGCACAGAGCTTGTGAGATTACCCTGGCTTGATTTTCTTAGGAGGGTGCCTTGATTTTCAGCAGGAAGAGTAGTAGGGAGCCCACACATCTGAAAATGGAATAGATACAAAGCTCATTCAGCTGAGCATCCAGTTACCCTAGGGGCTAATTTTGGAGAGCTAATGAGAAGACAGAGGACCCTTAGCACTGAGAGAGAATATGAGAACAGGCAGGGCCAGAGGAAGTAAAGGACCTTAGTCCCATTTTTGTCTGTGCTTTCGTGGGACTCTCTCTCACAGTGCTGGTTGCCTTGTATGTGTCTAACTGCTTTATCTACTTAGATCAGTTGGCTCTTTGAAGGCAGAAGAAAACTGAGTATTATGTTTGCATTTCCTCCCCCAGGAGAGTGGAAGGACTTCACAAGTCCTTCCATAATGGGCATTTGTTGGGCTGGTAGATGGGGAAGGATAAGATCAGCCCATCAAGAAAGAGTCTTTATGAAGCTGACACCACCCTAAGCCTCTGCACACAGCGCCAGAGAAGGGAAAACACAATTCCAGTGTTGACGGGAGCACCCCCAGGTGGTTAAGGCCCTCAGAGCAAGGTTCAAACACGCTGACAAATGAGTGCTGGGTGGCAGCCTTGTGAAGGAGCTAGCCTCACTAGGTGCAAATCTCTCAGTTGTAGGACTTTGGGGGAGTTACTCTGCTCAGCTATGAAGTGGAGTTCTATTCCCATTTTGAGATTGGGAATTGTGTTCCCATTTTGCAATTCCCTACTGGAGCATAGTCAAACACCATGTGCCCTAAAAAGACCTCACTAACCAGATGACTTTAGACTGGACCATATATCTTCAATAATGAAAAAATTTCCCCCTTCACGCTGAAGATTGATTCTTAGGAGGAGCGTGTATGAAAAAAGCAGTCTGTGGCCTTAAAGGTGACACAGAACTTGTACAGATACAAGGCATGCGTGTCCAGGTCACCTGTATTTTTTTTAAAAAGATTTATTTATTTATTCATACAGAACTGGGGTACAGGCCAGAGATGTGGAGGGTGAGAGGATTCACCAGAGACAGAGTGGGGAGCAGAACAGGCAGATCAACGAAGTACACTGCTGAGGGGAGCAGCGGGCGGGTCAGGAAAGGTCTGCCACGCCATGTGGTCACCTCCGGGGCAGGCGGGAATCAAACTCATGCGGAAGTGGCTTTAGCTTCTTAGTGCTGTGCTTTAACCCGCTGCGCCACCAGGGAGGACCAGGTCACCTGTATTTTAACAATGTAGAAAGTTTGAAAAAATAGTGCACTAGAACACAATGAATCCTATTACAATCAATCATATATCAAACAAATAACTTAATTCAAACAAATAACTTAAATTCTTAATTTACTAGATTTGTTTTAATTAAATGAAACCAAATATTTTTTCCTTTGATTGACAACATGGGGTGGCATTCTTTCATCTAAGTAGCTCACACACAATATTGCTTGCCTTTGATTTAGATATTACTAGTGACTCCTTTCAGGTGGGAAAATGAAAGCCAAAGAGTTACTAATTTGCCTACAGGCCATACAACTTTGTAGGAATAGAATCATGTGTTTTGAACTCCCTTTAAGGTTCTATTTTAAGTTCCCAGTCCATACCAAAAGAATGGCTTTACCTTTCAGCAGTATAAAGTTGGTTTCAATGTGTTTTGAGTCATTCAAGCTAAAAGGGTATGTTGCTAAGGTAGCAGTTGGCATTTGGATGCTTGGGCAACAGCTCACTGTTTTATGTGCAAAATACCCAGTCG